ATGTAGCAATGTTACAGTTGATTCCTGTTTTGCACATTTTAGATCCCCGTACATGTGCACCAACAAATCAGTGAGAAGGTCAGATTCAAAGATGAATCTGTAAAATAACATCCTTTTAAAAACATTTAACCTGTGTAGAAAACAGCTCTTTGCACGTTCTACTTCTTGCCCTTTAGCATCAGTCTGAGATGGTGGAAGCAATGTTTGGCTTTCCTTTTAATGATAATAATAGTAATACATTTTATTTGATGCGTCTTTCATGGCACTCAAGGTCACCTTACATCAGACAAAAAGTAAGCAGCAATAATAATTGTGTGTATAAAGTCTGTGTGAGTCCAAACTTTATGCTTTATGCTAATAAATACAATAATAATAATAAATAGTTGTCAGTCAGGAAAGAGGCTCCCTGCTCCTTTTCTTCTTCAAACCAACAAAATAGAAAGAGAGCTTGAGTGAGCTAAAGATAAATATAAAGACATAATCTCCACCTGAGCTATAATCTAACATTTCAACCTGTCATAGCATGAAAAGTACAGGTGGAGCTAATAACATTAATTAATTGGCTCTCTTCCATTTAGGTATCAGCATGCGGTTTTTCATTCACGGTCCTTGATTTGGCACATCTTGCTGGAATGAAGCCATTATTAACACTCCTAGTTACATTGCTGTTTGACAAGTCACACTACCTGCCGTGACAAAGGTTTATTCTGCTTTTGCAAAAGAAAAAACCCAGAAACGTTTACTTTTTACTAGTTATTTAGACTGGCAAATACTTACATATACGGTACACATACACATGCAGTATAGTCTCCATCTTAATAAGATGTCCCTCCCCGTTCCCTCCACAGAAGACGACCCCACACACAAAGTAGATGACAGCAACACCCGGATTCTGATTGGTTGTTTAGTGGCTATCATCTTCATCCTTGTGGCCATCATTGTCATTATCTTGTGGAGGCAGGTGTGGCAGAAGATGTTGGAGAAGGTGAGATGCTGTTAAGCGATGTTGTGCATTGCCATTGAGATGCCTGAGTCTTCTTTCGGGAGGTGGTCAGATGTGCTCCTTCACCCCCCACGTCCTTCATTCTAGGCTTCTCGCCGGATGCTGGATGATGAACTAACTGCTAGTTTGTCAATACAGAGTGAGACGTTCGCCTACACCCACAACCAGTCGAGTACAATCAGTGAGCAGGAGTCTAATTCCACCTATGAGCGCATCTTCCCCCTCGGCCCCGACTACCAGGAGCCATCACGCCTCATATGTAAGCTGCCGGAGTTTGCTCAGTGCTTAGAGGAGTCTGGTAGGTGGATACACAAGTCATACTTACATATATACGTCCATTTAAATTGATTTTCAACACATCCCTTATCTCATTCAGATTCCTAGTTAGAGTTTTGCGTATTGTGTTCCAGCCTCTACCAGCACAGCAGCTTCTAAATCCACCACAGCTACTGTAGCCCAAGATGGCGTCCCTCATTACGCAGAGGCAGACATTGTGAACCTGCAAGGCGTGACTGGAAGCAACACATATGCCATCCCTGCACTAGCTATGGACCTGTTGTCAGGGAAGGATGTTGCAGTGGAGGAGTTCCCACGGAAGCTGCTCACATTCAAAGAGAAGCTGGGAGAGGGCCAGTTTGGAGAGGTGTGTGCCACACTTCAACAGCTCCTGTTGCAGCTTGAACTTAAAGCACAAGTGAAGCTCTAAATGTTGTATTCCCCCTCTCCTCTCTCTCCTTTGTGCTTCCTCTCCCTCTCAGGTACACCTGTGTGAAGCAGAGGGGATGCAGGAGTTCATGAATGAAGAGTTTATGTTTGACATCTCTGAGGACCAGCCAGTTTTAGTGGCTGTGAAGATGCTCCGTTCAGATGCAAACAAAAATGCAAGGTAGCGACTCTAGATGCCCGAGTGATTTGCACTGAATACCTAATGTTTAGCCTGTACCGGAAACTGAAAAGAAATATTTGGAATGAAAAGGTGAAAGAAAGTCACTTACCTTTTGTGTTTTGGGTAGGAATGACTTCCTGAAAGAGATAAAGATCATGTCACGCTTAAAGGACCCCAACATCATTCGCCTGCTAGCTGTGTGCATCTACAGCGACCCACTCTGTATGATCACAGAGTACATGGAGAATGGAGATCTCAACCAGTTTCTGTCCCGCCATGAACCCGAGGGACAACTTGCTCTGCTCAGCAATGCACCTACTGTCAGGTGAGCGGTGGTGAACACACAAGTAGGAGACAGCTATAGTTTTTGTCTGACACATGACATGCTTTCTTTTCCCCCCTCTCCAGCTTCAGTAATCTGTGCTACATGGCCGGTCAGATAGCATCAGGGATGAAGTATCTCTCCTCTCTAAATTTTGTTCACCGAGACTTGGCCACGCGGAATTGCCTGGTGGGCAAAAACTACACGATAAAGATAGCTGACTTTGGCATGAGCAGAAACCTGTACAGTGGTGACTACTATCGCATCCAGGGCAGAGCTGTACTGCCGATACGCTGGATGTCATGGGAGAGCATCCTGCTGGTAAGGACCACTGCTTATTGAAATATTTGACTTCTGTTATAGGTAAAAAAAAAAAATCCTTTATTTAATGTTTTCTTGACGCATTTGTTGAGCCTCCCCATCATGTGTGTATCTCCCTGGAATTTAACGAACAGATTTCCAAATTGCGCTGGAAAATTAGCTCATCACTGTTTTCTTGTGCAGGGAAAGTTCACCACAGCCAGCGATGTGTGGGCCTTTGGGGTGACCCTGTGGGAGATACTAAACTTCTGTAAGGAGCAACCTTACTCTCAGCTCACTGATGAGCAGGTGATAGAAAACACAGGGGAGTTTTTCAGGGACCAGAAAAGACAGGTGAGCGTTAATAAAAAAAAGTTTCATCTCCATACAAAAACCTGTGAATCCCTGACTTAATTTCTTTCTTAAATCCCCTGGGCGCGCAGATCTACCTGCCTCAGCCTGTGCTCTGTCCAGACTCGCTCTACAAGATCATGCTCACCTGCTGGAGAAGGAACACAAAGGAACGGCCCTCCTTCCAGGAAATACATCGAGCCCTCCTGGAATAACAGCCGTAAGCCAGGGCAATATTTAAGACAGTGATTCCCAGTCTGCTCATCTCTGGAATAAATGGTGCATGACAAGAGAAGACCATGATTTCAGACACAATCCAGGTTTAAGCTATCTTGTTTCAGTAGAGAAACGGGTGAGAGCCACCTGTGGGCTCTTTGGGAAACACTCTTTCATGGACTTGCACACTACATTGATGGACTGCCAGTGTGTTTTGGTGTGTGTCAGACTTTAACTAGCACAATCACGTCGGCTAAGATGTTTAATAGACATACATGTATTCTTAGAAAATCTATTCTGTTTCATAATACACAAACCCCGGAACTTACACAGAAACGTGAACAAGGTTTGGTTGTGATGAGGAAGCCAAAGTTAAATGTAGCAAGTGACATTCGGCACTTTTGAAAACTGTATTTTTAATTATGTAAATTAATATTAGTTCACATTTCCCATGTTACAGTGTTTGACAGCAAACACATTGTTGAAGAACCTTTTTGTGTTTTCTTTTGGAAGACTGCTTGAATGTAGAGGGAGAGCATTACTGTTACATTTCATTGAATTTCAAGTATTTCATCTCAATTTCTCAGACAAACTCCACACGTTTAGAATAACAAATATCAAGTAGTCTTTCTCATCTCCCTGTAGTTATGGTGATTTGAACATGACGTGTATATGAGTGTGCATTTTCAATAGATAAGTCTGCATCTCAAATAGCAATATTTTGTATTGATATTTATATGTTCATATGTGTTTGTTCTGTTTATGTTGATATATTTGTGGATTAATATGCTCTTTAATTGACGGGTTTGGAGTATCATATTTGATTTTGTAACTTTCCTGTTCTACCAAACTGCTCAAGAAAAGTTTTTGTTTCCCACTGCTCTCTGTTATTGTCTTGCATTGATCACAAACTGTTTGATCAGAGTCATCAGATGTTGCAAGGAGCTTATGGGGAAGCCATACTGTGTTATGGCCATGTGCAGCATCACAGGGAAGATGTTACTGAGTGGGGTGTGGGTGTCGAACGAGAGAATGCATATGAGCTTACAGTTCGTCTCAGCTGACAGAATATATATTGCCTTTTGAATCAGGAATGTAGAAGAAATTGGAATATTCAGGCTGAATAATGTGTTTGATTGGAGTGATGGAATTAGTGACTGCTTCAGATTAGATTTACAGGTTTTAGTTTTTTGTTCTTTATTGATGTATGCTGGATTCTGACTTCTTATTTTCTGGCATAATTCTGTGTATAACCCTCTAACAGCTTGAACTTCACACTGCATTACACTGTTCCAGCCAGTTCAGCTGTATGCCCTGTTGTCAGAGGCCCTTGTCCCACTTACCTAGAACATAAAGACACTCATGTCTGCCCTAATGCATGGTACTTTCAACTCGTATGTGGAAGTCATCCATATCTTTGTGTGTTTCGCCATGTAGGGGAAAAATATGTATGAGTAAGTTAAATATGATATCCCATTTGGAGAAAGATTTGGGTATTTGTGAAGCACGGTGTGATTCCCAATGGAAATCTTGTCATGGCATTTTCAATTCTCTACGGTTGTAAATAAATCTGAGGCAGATGTATAGCTGTAAAAAAAAAAAAAAAAGCAATGGCACCCTGGCAGATTTCTTGATTAGTTTTATTACATATTTGTACTAAGTGATTCTATTTCAGTGAGAATGTTTTTACAGAAATTGTAAACAAAAGTTGTACATTGATAGACATAATACAAATAAAATTTAAACAGGGAAAAATTTGTCTTGGAGAGCTCTTGTCTTTTGTATAAGTACTGAATATATTCAACTGTGTGGGCGGCCCTTCAAGCTGAGCCGACTGGTATCAGGATCTGATTGGCTGACTGCCGCTGTAGTGTCCAATCACAACATGGAGGCGGAGTGATGACTATGACTCCACAGGAGGGGACAACTTTAGGTGGACCAGGCACACAACTTGTTGCATTGACAGAGCATTTAGCCATAAAATTAGTGTTTTCTGTATGCAGATCGTTTCTAGCTTGGACCTGAAAAGATGAACAAGGTGGTTTTGGTGACGGGAGCAAATAGGTAATGGCCGTCTTTATTGTTTTTATAAACCTAAAGTCTGGCAACCTAAGTGTAATGGATGCATAGCATAAGAGACCTTCAAGATCTTTAATGAAATCTTTTGAATTTTTAGCTGAAATCTTGTCAAGAGAGTCCCAACCCAGATACAGGATAAGTTTGTCATACAGTAGCCTACATGTATGTGGAATAACAAGAATTTTTTTGGTGTAGCTGCTGTTTTTTGGTAGTAATAATAGGTGTTACACTACAATACACTTGTGTTTCCCTGCAGTGGCATTGGCCTGGCCCTGTGTGAGCGCCTCCTCTCACAGGACACAGAGGGCCTGCAGCTGTGCCTGGCCTGCAGGAACATGCGCAGGGCTCAGGCTGCCCGCTCTGCCCTCCTCACTTCTCACCCTGCAGCCCAGGTGGCCCTGCTGCAGATGGACACCAGCAGCATCTCCTCAGTCATCACTGCTGCACAGGAGGTCAAACTCAGGTTGGAGGATTGACTCGCAGCAGCATGGCAATCAAACGCACATTCACAGACAGAATAGTCAACAACAACAGCACGGTGCAAGTTACATTCTAGACACGTCTGTTTAATATTTGTAAAAGAACTGAATATGTGTGACTTTGGTTGTCTACTGCAGGTATAACCGACTGGACTACCTCTACCTCAACGCAGGCATCATGCCAAACCCACAGTTTGATGTAGAAGCCTTTTTCAAAGGCCTTTTCTCCAGGTGCTTTGTTAATTTTACATCCTACACTGGATATGTGTATTAGAAACACCTGACGCAATAATATATAGTATCTATTTTAAAATTGCTTATGTGAAACATCTATTTCCCATGCTGCCTTAGAGCGCATATTTTTACAACATCTTTTTTGCAGCAATGTCATCACCATGTTTGCCACTGGCGAAGGGATTCTGCAGCAGAAGGACTGTGTCAACGCTGATGGCCTGCGAGAAGTTTTCGCGACCAACCTCTTTGGTCACTTCCTACTAGTGAGTGACTGCTATTTTGGCTACTGAATTATCTAGCACTAGCAGTGTGGTCTGAGCCACACATTGAATCTAATACAAAACCATGTTCCCTTCGGTTTTCTGCAAGGAGAGAAAAGCTGTTTAACCTTGATGGAATAAATATAGGTGATACTAGATCTGTCTGTCACGTAGCAACGAAGCTCATTAAAAATTAACAGCGGGAACTGTTTTAGCCATAAGGTCACTGCAGACACTTTTCTGTTTACTGTGCGGTTTCAGATGGAATCTGACGTGTATTAAGTTGCCATCACAGAGAAACCCTCTCAAAGTTTCTGCTTACACTTTAAAGAATCCATCTTTGCTGCTGTTTTCACACATTGTTTAGTGAGAAAAACACTTTTTGGCTGTAGTTTTGGTAAGGTCTTTCTGAAATACTCACCAAAGTTTTGTATGAAGTTAATTTTGCTGATTAGTTTAAGGCAGGGGTCCAAGGTCCTTGAGGAGGTTCTAGGGGGTCCTCAGCAAACATGTGAAATTGCAATTTAAAAGAAAGCATGGCACATTTAAATCTTAATATATTATACACAATTCTTTAATTCTATTATTCCACCCATAATGTGACAGAATGTGTGAATAATTTGGTCATGAGTTTCATACACTTTCTATAATAAACTAAAAAAATCCTGTCAGATGGGGGGACCCTGGGACAAAATCTTATCAAATCGGGCTCCGTGGTCTAATTTGTGTCAGTTTAACCGTGGCATGATAAAGTTTGAGAACCACTGGTTTGATCTGAACTTTTGTCTACATGGAAAGAGATGTCATTGTCGTTGCTGCTTAAAATCTACATCTTAACCAGTTAGTTCAAGATATAGATGTATAAAAGTGCAATTGTATGTTAATTTAAAAAAAGTGAGATACAGTTGTGTCACCCATTTCTCATACAAACAACCACGTTTCTAAAATAAAGTTTAATTTTCTTATTTAGCTGTGAAGGTTCTCACTGAGGTTAAATAGCTGGGATTCCCTGCCAGTCAGTCAGAACTGAGGCAAACTGTAGTGGAAAATGTGTACACATTTCCTTTGATTTATGAAAAGATATTATTTTAGACTGAAACTGAGCCTTAATGACTTGTTAAGATTTTTCTTTAACTGAGTATTGTAAGGCTGTGGCCTTCTCCTCTGTTATGGCCCAGATCAGGGAGCTGGAACCAGTTCTGTGCCATGCAGGCCGGACCTCCCAGCTGATCTGGACCTCCTCCAGCAATGCTCACCGCTCAGCTTTTAACCTTGACGACATACAGCACCAGAGAGGCACCCAACCTTACAGCTCCTCCAAATATGCCTCCGACCTGCTCAGCCTGGCGCTCAACACACACTTCAACAAGCAGGTTGGCTCTTGCACACCTCACATGCATGCCTGCAAGGTGAACTTTTTTTTATACCTCCCAAGATTTTGATGAGCGTGATCTTGCTTTTATTGTGCTCTCTAGGGTTTGTACTCATCCGTCATTTGTCCTGGTTTTGTGATGACCAATCTGACATTCGGTATCCTGCCCTCCTTCCCAGCCTTCCTCTGGAGCCTGCTCATGCCTGTCTTTTGGCTTGTGAGTGCCACTCTTGACAGTACAAATTATTGACACATACGTTTTTTTCCCCAGTTAGTCGTGTCAAATTGGAATTATTTGGTAATATGCATCTTTCTTTCATGGGCTCAGATAAGACTGTTCACCAACACTTTCACCCTAACACCTTATAACGGAGCTGAAGCTCTGGTAGGTAAAACACATTTACAAATTTCCATACACAGTTTAGTACAAATTAATTCATGAATGCTGCTCTGTCTTGCAGTTTTGGCTATTTAAGCAAAAGCCTGAATTATTGGACCCTCAAGCCAAGTACCACAGCTTAACATCTGGGCTGGGCAACAACTACACACAACCACGTAAGGTATGGCAAAGGAATACTATCCATTGAAATTAGGTTTGAATAGTCTTGGTAAATAGTTCATGTAGTCAGTTGTGTGTCTTCTGTTCCGCTTTGCAGATGGATATCGATTTGGAAACATCAGAGGCTCTGTATGAGAGGTTACTGCAACTAGAAAGTGAAGTGAGGGAGAAACTGAAGGAAAAACAAAAAGAATCCCAGCATGCTCACAGTCCTGCAGGACCTGGGTCATCTTGATGCATATCAGACAATTCTGAGATGGAGAGTATTTTATTCCTGTCTCACAGGTCAGCTGGGAGCGGTGTGCACATACTGGCTGTCAGACCTGTCAGAAATATAAATATAACACCCCCCTCCCTGCCTGACACAGCAACATGCAAGCCTCAACTCACAGCACAAACAAAGCAAGTTACAGTGACTCTATAAGCATTTTAAGTTTGATTTAGGCTACTGTTTCCAAATGTCTGTAATCAAAGAACCATAATGATGTTGTGATGGTTTGGAAAAGAGTTTCCAATAAAACTGAGCTCTGTCTGTTTTCATCCACTTAATCCCACTTATTTTCAGTCCATTCACGCAGTAAAGTATGATAGGCTATTACATGAGGAGAACAACACAGTTTTGCATGTATGCTCTGATGGTAGACCAGGTCACCAAGTGTCCAGCCTATAGGGTCAAGGAGGGAGTTTCTCCAATTTGGTTGTTAATTCCATGATCGTCGCGGCAAAATGAAGTGCAGTCTGACAGTAGACTGTCAGTATCATCCCAAAAGTTTACGTAAGTGGTGTGTGTGAGCCCCTCCGCGTTGTACGGCGGTGCAGGCAGATGCGTACAGGCGCACCTGACAATCGGCTCTGGAGGATGTGGGGCGTAAACCCAGCAGTCGTGCCCGTGTTCCGCAGAAGGTTTCCCGGTTCCACACTGCTCCTCTGCCCCGCTCAGTTTCGGGTTGCAAAAAGCCCACACCATCCCGCAGAAATAGACGAAAAACGTTCCCATGACCATGACCATGAGCGCGTAGGACTCGATCATGGCTTTGGCGACTGGAGATGTCATCTTTGGATACAAAGGGATGATAGGCTAATCGAGTATGAGTTCCCAAAATGCGTTCAGCAGGGACTGTCAGTGCGACTGGCATCATCCTGTGGGTTGGACCACTTCACCGCTCAGTTCAGTAAAACGTGACATAGAGACATTCAGAAAATAAACATCTCTCCTTGAACATAATGTAGCTACAGTCATTATGACAGCTGTGTGAGAAACAAAACAGTGGTCAAACTGTAGGTGGAATAAAGCAATTTTGACGTTATTAAATTAAATTAACATTGTGCAAAACTATGGGCTCTCACCTCTATCATATTATTAAACCCCTTAATAAACTTAGACTACCTTAATATTTGAGGATATTAAAACAGTGAAATCCAACTGGTAAATAAAGTGTGGAGAAGTGAGATTTCCTCTTTGAAAGCCAATGTATTTACCTAATTAATTGATTTTTTTAATATTGCATTCCATAATTGCTTTCACTTTCATGTTGTTGGACCAAACTGAGTAATATATCGGCCTATCCTTAAATATGACATACTGAATCCTGTGTGGGACAAAGCCATAGAGAGCAGCTGAAAAGTTTAGTATAAAGCTAGTTTACCTTTAAAATCCTCCCAGACAGTGAAAAACTTACAGCCTAACTGATGCTTTGTGGACACACTTTAGAAAAACAGATTAAGCTGAACATGATTCTGCATGCTAATAGCCATACTCATTCCAAACTTGTATTTTTAAATGTTACTTTAATCCTGTTTGTGATAAGTTGTTTCCACTGAATTTTAATAAATAAACTGTAAGAATCATCTTTCTATTTACATTATACATTTAAACAGACCATAAATATGTGTAATCACACAGGTCAGTGTTCCCTAACAAGCACATCAGCTGGCAGCTATCAGCTTATTTGACTTTCCTTATAGGATAAAACACCAGCACCCACAAGTCCCAAAATAGCATCAATGAGACTGTGAAGCTCAGGTTTTGGGCCTTTGTGTTGGGCTTCGCATTTCAGTATGTTAGACCAAGTTTTAAGCTCTGGGTCAAGCCTTGTTGGGTGAAGGATTATAGCAACAAAACTATAACATAATAGAATAATCCTAGGAGAAGGACATACAGCAAACGGCCATACAATATGCCTGTGGGGCTTTTTTGTAAACATTAATATGTCATTACTCTGACAACAACAACACAATTGTTTGTGGCCCCTAATGTAAAAGTTGGCATGAGGTATTAACAGACTATTTAAACAACCATTTATTAAATAAATCAATGTAGGCCTACATTTTTAATGATTTTTGATAAAATGCTTTTTTTATTACATTTTCTTGAACCTTTTAACTCATCCTCAAACTTCTTTGTCTGTAATTTGTTCATCCAGTCAGTTTCAGCCTTTTCATATTAAAAACCGTTCTGAATCATTACAAAACTTGTCAAAAAAGTGGCTTCTTCTGCAATAATAGTTTGTGCTCACACGTAATGAGGAAGCAGAGAAAACTTCACTTTTCCTGTTCATAATCAAAAGTATGTGACATCCACTCTACTATACAAAGCACAAACATCCAATAATGTTACTTGCAAATCTGGGACCACAAAGAGTTGATGTTTACATGTAGGCCTAATCATTTAATGTGGTGATCCTGGATCCAGAAAAACCTCCACAGAGATAGTACAGAGAAGACTGAGGAGAGAGAGCAGGGAGGGACGACATGCAATAAACATAGGCCATCAGGACACCCCCATTTAGAGATTTCTAGATTTGCCAATAAACAGATGTATAAGCAGAATCATGAGGTTGAAAACGTATGGCCTCCTTCCAAACTGATAAAGGTCATAATTGAAAGAAAAAATGACATCCACAAACTGCTACTTGTGATGCACTACACTTTCATCTTCCACTGTGCAGTGCTCGTGATGACTATTGTGGCGTCTTTTGACAAAACTATTAAGCCTTTGGCCTCGTATTCTACAGCGACCATGTTTCACCGTTGCGTACACCACATTGGGATCAGGTTTGATTACCTCACAGACTGGTGCTAACCAGATATCTATATTTTGTGAAATATTGTTTACACTAGCAGTAGCCTACATGGAGGGTTTAAGACCTGGGTCTCAGTGTAGAGTGACAGTCTTGTTCTGAGTCAGACTTCAATGACAGGACAATCTGTAAGTCACTCAGTTTAAATCTTTACCTCAGATTTTGTCAGTAATTATTCAATTATATGTTGACCTTTCCTCACATCCTGTCTTCCATCTTTACTGAAACATATTCGTCCTAGCTACAGAGACACCTGCTGCCTCCCTTAGAGGTTTGTAAAGGTATTACGGGAGTATATTAACAGCAATGACGGAATAGATGAGCCCTCTTTGGTTTGAAAACTAATACCCTTTTGTAAAACGGTGTGAGGAGGTTTTTCTATTGTCAAAACAAGAGGTCTGTGAGTGTGTGAGAGTACCCATGCTTACAGAGGTTAACAACCACGCACCAACGACAGAGAGACTGGCATTGTGGGTAGTGTAGTCGTTTTATAGGTCTATTCCGTAACGAAGTCAATTACAATCTAAGTTTGAAAAAACTACATGTCCCTTCCGCGCCAGCCCCGAGGTCCCGGATGTCTATCGCGCCGGAAGAGAAGAAGGTCCTTTTCCCAGCCATCTTGTGGCTTCATCTAGCGAAGTGTTCGCACCAAGCCTCGTAGAATCGGAGGAAAATCCTGCTGAAGGGGCGCCATCATGCCCGGACAAATGCAAGAAGGTTTTGGCTGTGCCATAACCAATCGGTTCGACCAGTTATTTGACGATGAGTCGGATCCATTTGAACTGCTGAAGCAGGCCGAAGTGAAGAAGAAGGAGGCTCCAGCTCCTGGTGCCGCCAAGACTGCTGCCCAGGCTGCCAAGCAGCCCAAAAAGGAGTCCCAAAAAGACAGAAAGGCCCCACTGGCTGATAAGAAGGAGGAAACCCAGGCACCCGTCCCGCTTAAGAAAGATGGTGAGATCTATTTCTGCGTTTTAGGTCTTAATCAAGCTGCACGTAAACGATTTTATGCTAACAGGCGAAGTTGCTTGCTTACTAGCTAGCAACGGTTCATAAGCCCCGGTGACATGAGGTCCGCGTGGCTGCTTTAATGCCCATGCTGGCTGTCAGTTTCTGGAATGATGACATTTATTCAAAGGTATAATGAACGAGGTGTGTGGGGCTTAACTTCAGCGATTCGACGATAAACAGTTTGCAGGCCAACTTGTTTTGGCTTGCACCCCCACCCCCACCCCTCGGCCTTGTTGAACAGGCAGAACCCGAAAGCCTGGCTACTAGAGAAAGTGGCCTGAAGATGTTTAAATGTTGACGGACTCCTGTCAAGTCATGACTTTCAATAAGGACACTTGTTGTTCACTTTGCTCTGAATTTAAAGTAGGTCGTTTTAAGCGGCTTTTTATAACACCTTAAAATAAAACGGGAATGGCTAACGTTTAGTAAAATCTTACACATGCAAATACACATTGTTAAATTAATGTAAAATAACGCGAGACACGTAAACACTATCGTGGCGGATTTGTCGGACATTAAGAGCAGCACTGCGCTCATGGTGATGAACCTCGTGGTTGTAACGTTAGTGTGGGGCGTGTTAAAAGCACAGCCTCCAAACTGCCACTTCCCATTGGCGCACAATACATGTGATAGACCTCTCTCAAATCACTTACTTTCCCTTTTGAGGCTTCACCTGATATTATCTTTTGTAGATTGTCTCAATATTAAGTGATCATCAAGCCCATCAAGCAAACAAAAGTTTACTGAGAGCATTTTGGGGTTGCATTGTTTGCTCTAACTTAGATTTACTACATGCAGATTAGAGGCATCCGGAGTTGTGGTTCGACTCTGAGATGGATACCTGCTCACAGCCAGCTAGTTGGCCATTATCATCATGTAAGTCTGCCAAGTGTGCTCATTTCTGTTTCCTTGAGAGAAGATGAGACAGGTGCGGTGACTATGGTGCTCCCAGCTGCTGCTGTGTAGTATAGGGTGTCTATTTTGGTAACTGGTGATTTAGGCAATGGGTGGGACTTGCTGTGTCACGCTGGGCCAGTGGCAGTCAAACATGTGCCATGGAGGGTTAAACTTTATGGAGGCGGTAATTCTGAGTGTTTGAACCGATCCACATACTTTTCTGTCAGAGTAGGAAATGAATGAACTGCCTGAAAACCCTTTTATAATGTGAGCTAACCCTAACTCAATAGTTTATATAAACACTGTTAAATCAGATTACATTGCAGCTAGAAAAGTTGTACAGT